GCGCATAACGTGGACTAGTTATTCGCATATTGTCAATAGACGAATAAGTAAATGATTAGGTCTGTCACTGCATGTGGGCATTTTATTATATATATGTACATAATAACATCACATACTAACGTTGACACATGGCGCCACTTTTTTTAACCTGACCATGACCATTAACCCTCGCCCCACTGGGTGGGGGGTGGGGGGTTGCCCCCCCCGTGGTTTTTCCTTGAATAGCGCCAAATTTTCAGTACCTTCCCGGGCATCCGTTTGACATCTTCACACAAATTTTCAAGTCTGAGGTCACCTTAGGTCAGGAGTTATTGAGGTCAAACTGAGGTCATGTTGGAGCAAAAATGAGCAAAAAAATTGAAATTTTGAAACGATCACAAAACCTACAGTTACCAAGCAATTTCAAAGTTCTTTATATGGTCTTGTAGGCAAAAAGTGGCGCTACAAATATGCTATCTCGGATGTTCTAAGTTGTGGGTTGTCGATCCCCAAAAATTCAAAAATTGATTTGTTTAGTAAAACTTTAAAAAAAATCCCAAAATAATTTCGAATTTCGAAAAAACGGAATATATGTGATAGTACCTGCGCTTTTCTATATACATACCAAATTTTAGATCGATGCCTTTTTTGGCCATGTTATAGCGAAAAAAAAACTGTTAAAAAGCCGGTCCCGTAGCCCAGTTGGTTAGAGCGTTGGACTCCGCGTGGTGAGAGCACGCGTTCCCGGTTATGACAGTCCGGGTTCGAAGCGCGACGGGCGCTCGACATTTATGGGCCTCCTGACAGGTATGGTTGCGGTTGGTGGCAGGCCGTAGCCAGGCAAAGTCAGCGAGGGGACCGGCTGTGCGCGGCTTTGTGCGCACGTTAAAGGTAGTGTGCCAGCTTTCTTGGACCATATGGAGTTAATGACCCGGATAAGGAGAACCGGATTTTTAGAACTTATCCATACCTTCAAAACTTATGGAAACGTCTTAAATTCTTCAAATTTTGAGTACCCCAGTGCGAAATTCGCCCCGACGGGTTGTCGGTCGTACCCCAACCACATTTCACACCACTATGAACAATAAACGCACACACTAAAATCGCTATTACCGATAGGCTCATCCAATCAAGTTTCGATAAACCCGTTCATCATCATCTCCTGCGGTTTCGAACACGCCTGTTAGGTGGCTTCTGATGCTCGTCGAGGTCGGAATTTCCAAATACGCGTGGTGCGTCGGGCCGCGCGCTCTGACTTCGGCCAAGAAAAATGCGTCAGCTGATCATTGTCATTTCTGCCACTTGCGTGTGGTGTAATGGGGTCATAACTTAAGAGACGGCTGTTTCATATCAATTATTTTACATAAAATCATATTTCAAACCACAAATTAATGTTCGACAGCCAAATTTAAGAAACAATACCAATACAGGCTTACAGTTTAAGGCTCGACATTGTGTTGTCTACGATTAGACAGCTGATAACTCATTCCCGTACGTCGTATGGTCGTAACACTATAATGACCTTTGCTTATTGTCACAAGTGCGCCGCATTCGCGATTGTTGCCCGACGCCTGTTTGCAGGTGAGCCCACTACAGTTGTTATACATATCTAAAAACCGATAAACTTTTAGGCGAAAAAGGCACTATTCCAGGCCCATTTTTGATTTTTTTTTTTTGCGATATTAGGTAAAAACAGAAGCTTCTTATCCTAGGAAAAATAAAACGGGAAATCTTTCAAAGGTGGCACACTACCTTTAAACTTTGGACTCTAAATTCTGCCATAGAATCGGAATTGCGCGATCGGAGGGTAGAGGTAAGGGTCATCGCAACAAGCTTTGCTTAGCGGTGGCTCTGTCCTCGTGAATCCTTCCCATCAAAAGGTTCGGACTAAATTAAAAAAAAAATGATGTCCAATTTTTGAACTCAATTTTTTAGCAATTCTAGACCACGTAGCGCAAAACAAACACCACCATTGAACTCCCTGTGACAAGCTGCATCCAATCGATACCCATTTTATGCAAAATATCAACTTTGCAATTTGACCTAATTTGACTTGACCTTGAACTGACCTTCACCATAATCTAAACTATAATGTACCATAATCTAAACTGACCCCAAAGGCTGCCTGACCCACATAATCGTATTTGACATATAAAATGAACCATAGAACATGCATCACATGATATTTTCATATTGCGTCCCTTAGTAACCTGACCTCTGTGACCTGGCCTGGTATCAGTGACATCAAAAAGAAAATATATGTTTGACGAACATTTTCCCATCGATGATTTTCAATGAAATGCATTTTACTCGATTTCACAACGAATTTCTTGAAATGCCTGTGAACGGTGAAAATTCGACGTTTGACCTGACCTGCGACGTCATCGGTTTGACCTAGGTCAATGAAATAGGGTCACACGAACTCCCCCTCCATGTTATTGCGCGGGTTTAAATACAAAGGCCTATATTAGTGATGTCAATTACAGAAAATCAAAATACCGATACCAAACCAAATACCAACCAAATTCGTTAGGAAGTATGTACCAAAATCGAACCAAGTTGGAAACATGAAGGAAATACCAACTTTGTACCAATTTACCAGCCTCTTATACATCAATGAGGGTTCATAAGACCAAAAAAAAAAAAACACACACATCAGGATTGAGATGCCAAATACCAAGTAGGTATCGGTTTGGCGGTAGGTATACCTATATGGGTATGTAGGTATACCAATAATTTGGTATCCGTTTGACTGCTCTAGCCTATACAATTTAAGGCAAGTCATGTCGTAGGAGAGATGCCTTCCATGCTTTCTGTATCAGCAATAATAAAACACATCGAGGCAACGCTAAGTATGCGTTGTATGCCTTCTAAAAGCCATCATTGGCTCACCATCAGTATAAGTCTTTATATGAAAAAGAGAACCAAAACAAAAATCACACCAACTCACAAAAAAAGATAAAATGGGTCGAAGTCATTTCTTGGAACACAGGCCATATTCGCCTGCCAAAGTGAATCATTATGCAATGCTATAGCAATCGGCAAGTCGAACAATGGGTTTTGCAACATGGAGAGGTCACAAAAGAGATACTATAGCGGCCTCGATTGGGTATAAATGTCAGATCGAGCTGGTGACACATTATCAGTTGGAGGAAGGACCAGCTCGCCTCAACATGAAGACCGTGAGTGGTGGCTCAATAGAGACCAATATCGACAAACACAAAGACCGCTGATGTTACAGAGACTCATTACTAGCTCATTTAATGCTCGAACACCATGATTATGCATACTTACGCACATACGTACATGCAGGATCGACTAAAACCACATCAAACATTAAAAGAGCCTGGCACCAACGAATGCACCTCTGTATGTTTCAGTTCATCGTCGCTGCTCTGGCCCTGGTGGCTGCTGCCGATCGGCCCCAGTCTTCCTACAGGCCCCGACCTGCCTACTCTGCCCCGACCTACGCTGCCCCGACCTACGCTGCCCCGACATACACCGCCCAGCCGAGCTACAAGCCCATCGCTATCCTTGAGGAGAAGAACGTCCACCCCGGAGACGGCACCTACAACTTCCACTTCAGCACCGAGAACGGCATCTACCGGTGAGAAATGATAGATCTCGAAATTTGGGTCAGAAAAAATTTGAAAATATGCTCTTATCAATCAAAGAGCTGAATAAATAGCAGTGTCAGCCACTGATATAAAAAAGCTATGTAATTGACACAATGAAACCATTGTCAGATCTGAGAGCGGTGTTCCTCTGCCCGGCTACGGCAAGAACGCCTACGGACAGCCGGAGGGCAGCTACCGCCAGGAGGGCTCCTGGAGCTACTCCGACGGATACGGCAACCCCATCAAGGTGACCTTTGTCGCCGACGACAACGGCTACCAGCCGTCCAGCGACATCCTGCCGACGCCGGTGCCCACCCAGTACCCGACCCCTGCTGTTGGTCCCGCCTACGTCGAGCCCCAGCCCGCCTACGTCGAGCCCCAGGCGGCCTACGTCGAGCCCCAGCCCACCTACGGCAAGCCCCAGACGGCCTACCAGCCCGCCTATCAGCCGGCCTACAGGCCTTCCTACAACTAAGAGTAAATGCAACATATGGTACTGAAAACCTGAGGCTAAGGCATACAGTACATGACTGAAGTTATTTTCAAACCGACCGTTATCATCGTGTGAAATGTCCGGAGCACAATATGTATGTTTTTATATGCATCTGTTGTGTAAACGTTTGCAAGATATACTTTAAATAAATGACATTACGCATGTTTACCATTCATCATACTGCAATATCTTCTGCAACAACACACACATGCTTTCCATCAGCAAATCACAGTTAATGACAGTATTTGAATCTTGCAGTGAAGCCTAATAAACAGCGCTTTCTGCACAGCCGCAGCCCCGAATTTCGACCGAGCACATCCGGGTAACAGGGGAATTCATATACCAAAATTAAGCGTGCCGATCCAATTAGGTACGGTCCATCGCACTGAATCGACTTCAACTGGATGTTGAGCTGGTGACCATGCACGTCAGGAGTTTCGAATGTCGAGCGCCGGGGGCGACTTCAAACCGGGAGACAAGCGCTCTACCGAGCTACGAGACGGACACTGGCGTGGCACAACGCCTCAGGGTCTCGTTCGATAGACACGGTAACAAGGCCGATGAAAGGTCAGCTAAGTGAACTCGCTTCATGGCAAAAAAAAAAGATGAAAAAAAGAAACGCCAAACCCACCAACTAACTAGACAAGCATAGGAGTTCCTCAGATCCCCAGTTCTCATTACTCTGAAATGTCTTGTCTACCCTGGTCGGGCTGGTCATGCTTTTGATCAAATAAAACCGACTTTTGAATAGACGGGAGAGCCGTCACTCAATCGTCCCTTGCAGACCGGGACCCCTGCAGGGTCGCGCCTGCTTCCACTGTAGCGCTTCTGTCCCGTACTCAGCGCCGTGTGTTGACCTCCGTCAGGGTCGGGGGGGGGGGGGAAGGGAGGGCGTCACCGGCCGCCGGCTCCGTCCCGCCTCACACCGCCACCTACTTAAGGCCGCACGGACCGTGGGAGATCATCAGTTTCACACCGATACCACTACACACAACATGAAGCTGGTGAGTAGCACTCGTATGAAATGGAGAGCATTGATATAGTTTAGCTTTTTATCAATCGGTCTGTGATTAGACTTTTGGATGCGAACGTGAAAAACATTTTCGTTGCACGTTTCCAGGATATGACCAAATAAGTACAATCCAAATAATTATAAGATAAGACAGGCCTCATTTCTTAATTTCATTGAACAGAAATTCAGCATCGCTGTCAGCAACGGTCTGCAGCTCAAAATATAGTTGTTAATTTCGATCAGGAGTAGCAAGACAGAAGAAGGACAGCAAGTACTTGTACTAGGCAAAGAAGTAACAAACCATATTTTCATTGCAGTTCATCGTCGCTGCTCTGGCCCTGGTGGCCGTCGCCGACCGGCCCCAGCCTTCCTACAGGCCCCGTCCCACCTACGCTGCCCCGACCTACGCTGCCCCGACCTACGCCCCGGCCCCGACCTACAAGCCCCAGCCCAAGTACGCTCCTGCCCCGTCCTACGGCCACTCGAGCTACAAGCCGATCGCTATCCTGGAGCAGGAGGACGTCCACCCCGGAGATGGCACCTACAGCTCCAAGTTCTCCACCGAGAACGGCATCTACAGGTCAGTTAATTAATATCCCACTTTTTAGTAACATCAGCTATAGTTAGTTTGCAAACTCCCTAGGGTTGTTGCAAACTACCTAGGTAAAATGCGAAAACGACGAAACAACAGCCATATACGAGTACATATGTAGATAAGACGCGATGAATTGGTTTAGAGCTCAGAATGAAGCTTGACAGCAATGGTGCATAGTGAGACGATGTGGTGTTTTGATGACGCTCTTTCGCAGCTTACTATTTATTTTTGTCTTGCTCGCAAATATCACCTTACAGATTAATGTCTGCTTTCTTTTCTTGTAGTCGACAACAACATGCTACTTTGCCATCCACCTCCTATCCATTGGACGTCAGCGACCTCTCCTCCACCGGTCTGGCGTCCATCAGAAAGCGGATGACGTCGCCATGTTCGGCGTCTTCCACGACTCGAGAGTTAACTATTGCCGCTCAGCGCTTCCTCCCACTCCCGGAACCTCTGATCGAACAGTTCGTGAGACAGTGAGACATCCCCACAGAACCACAGAGCAACCATAAAACAGAAATTGCGATCACTATGCTGCCTCTTCACACTCCGCTCAGCACTGATGCACTGAGCCAGCACTGAGCACCGTCCACCAGCCGTGACCCAACAGCGCCCTTCATCCGTATCCCGCAGGCACACACTGACCTGACCTGTCAAGCTCGGGGCAGTCGACTGCTGGCTACCAGGATCGGGTGGAAGCGGGGCGTTGGGTTGACTAAGATGACATCCTGATTTCTAACCCGCGCCCCGTAGGGGGGGGGGGGCGAAACGGCCCCCCTGTCCTTTTCCGTCAATATCTTCTAAACGGCTGCAGCTATCGCCATCAAACTTTCAGGACTTCTCCGGGCATCAATTTTACACATTGTGACCAAAAGTTTCCAGAGGCTATGATAGGTTGGCCATAAATGACGTCAGAATAACTTAATGTTCTGCCTTTTTCGACCGAAAAAAAGTGTTTCGCGAGAAGAGCTGTCAGACCTACAGCTTTGAAGATATAGAAAAATTATCAAACATAAAAGGTGTGAAATCAACAGGGCTAAAAATTTACAATCTCGGATTTTTAAAATTTTTGATTTTTGACCCCCAAAAATGAAAAATGAATTTGGATATATTACCCAAAAAATCAAAAAAGTTTTTTAAGTTTCGAAAAAACGGAAAATATATGATAGTACCTACCAGTCAACCCAACGCCCCGCTTCCACCCAATCCTGGTAGCCAGCAGTTGACTGCCCTGAGCTTGACAGGTCAGGTCAGTGTGTGCCTGCGGGATTAGAGATGTCAATCGGATACCAAGTTCTTGGTATACCGATACCAAACCGATACCAACTTGGCTTTTGGTATTTGAATCGTAATGTGTTTGGTATTTCGTTGGTATCATGAACCCTCACTAATGTATAAGAGGCTAAGAAATCGGTAAAAAAAAGTTGGTATTTCCCTCATTTTCCGAAGTCGGTTTGGTTTCGGTATTTCTTCGTGGTTTTGTTGGTATTTGGTTTGGTATCGATATTCTGATTTTCCGAAATTGACATCACTATGCGGGATATGGATGAAAGGCGCTGTTGGGTCACGGCTGGTGGACGGTGCACAGTGCTGGCGGGTCATCAGTGCTGAGCGGAGTGTGGAGAGGCAGCATAGTGATCGCAGTTTCTGTTTTATGGCTGCTCTGTGGTTCTGTGGGGATGTCTCACTGTCTCACGAACTGTTCGATCAGAAGCTCCGGGAGTGGGAGGAAGCGCTGAGCGGCAATAACTCTCGAGTCGTGGAAGACGCCGAACATGGCGACGTCATCCGCTTTCTGATGGAAGCCAGACCGGTGGAGGAGAGGTCGCTGACGTCCAAGGAAAGGAGGTGGATGGCAAAGTAGCATGTTGTTGTCGACTACAAGAAAAGAAAGCAGACATTAATCTGTAAGGTGATATTTGCGAGCAAGACAAAAATAAATAGTAAGCTGCGAAAGAGCGTCATCAAAACACCACATCGTCTCATTATGCACCATTGCTGTCAAGCAATTCATTCTGAGCTCTAAACCAATTCATCGCGTCTTATTTACATATGTACTCGTATATGGCTGTTGTTTCGTCGTTTTCGCATTTTACCTAGGTAGTTTGCAACAACCCTAGGGAGTTTGCAAACTAACTAGGGACTTTGCAAACTACCTAGGGAGTTTGCAAACTACCTGTTCGACCAGGTACTTTGCAAACTACCTAGGGAGTTTGCAAACTACCTGATTGTTCAGTTAGTTTGCAAACTCCCTAGATAGTTTGCAAACTAACTGATTTCTCATACTCCCTGTAACATATATACAATACAATAATACGTTATTTATTTTTCAGGTCTGAGACTGGCGTGCCGGTGCCCGGCTACGGCAAGAACGCCTACGGCGAGGCGGAGGACCTCTACCGCCAGGAGGGCTCCTGGAGCTACACCAACGGCTACGGCGAGGAGGTCAAGGTCGCCTTTGTCGCCGACGAGAACGGCTACCAGCCGTCCAGCGACATCCTGCCCACCCCGGTGCCCACCGAGTACCCGACCCCCGAGGTGGACCCCGCCTACGTCGAGCCCCAGCCCAGCTACGGCAAGCCCGCCTACCAGCCGGCTTACAAGCCCGCCTACAACTAAGTGATCTATGCTGAATGGTGTTCGCTGACCTTAATCTTATTTATTATGTCGATGTTGGCTATTTATGAATCATATAACTCATCATCGTGTTTTATTTCTCATGCAAAATACATTGTTTCATAATGATGCAAACATTTTGTATTCATCTGGGTGTTTATTCTAATAGGGACCTTTTGAAAAATAGACAATGGACATAGGAAACGGGTCATACGGGTGAATAATTCAGACAACATTCCATATGAACAATTACTGAGTCACTTTCAACTTGGTCCCGTCTTTGGGCTGTGAGCGCCCACCGGGAAACATGTTTCCGTGTGCGACAGTTGAGGTGCTACTATCTACACGTACACAGCGCAGAAACCGCTTTTGCATCAGAGCGAAGGACCGTTCACAGCTCAAAGCCGACGACCACTATCACGGACCAGCTACATGGAACCAGCTCTTCAAACCAGGCACTGTCGCGGACCAGCTCAATGAAAACTTAGCTGGGGTGACACTGACCGCATGTGCACGAGCATTCGCCACTTCTCGTGGACCCAAGAACGGATGGGATGATTGTTACGGAGCGAGCGAAGCGAGCGTAGTCTTTCCTTAGATTAACGGAAATTTCTGAGTATGAGCGGCCGGCCGGCCGGCCGTGGTCACGCTTTTGCGAGGCTTATATCTCAGCAACCACTTGACCGATTTACACGCGGTAATTTTTGTAGGGTAGCTTCATTCCTTCTACCAAGTATTGGACTATTCCTGATGCATGTGGGTGACCCCTTATGCACGTGCCACGTGCAAAACGAAGAGGTGTCCGTTTTGTAATTGTTGCAATATCTCGGTAACTACTTGGCCGATTGCGCTGAAAGTTGGCATGTAGGTTAAGGTAGGCACCCACTAGGCACTGCATATCCATATGCCAGAGTTGGGGTGCTGCTGTACGTGCGCACGTGCAGGGGCCGTTTCCAGATCTCGAGAACGGCTCGACCGATTGCGCTCAAATTTGGTACACAGTTAGGGACCGGTTAGTAGGGTGCCGTGCACAAGTCAGTTGGGACCCATTTTGCACGTGCGCACGTGCAGGGTGCCGCTTCCAGATCTCGAGAACGGCTGGGCCGATTGTGCCCAAATTTGGCACGTCGCTAGAGATCGGTTAGTAGGGTGCCGTGCACAAGTCAGTTGGAGGTACCCCCTCGCAATTTCGCACGTGCAAGGCCCACCCTCTCGCTCGCTCCGTTAGTCGCCGCAAAAGGCGTTATACTGGTGTTTAAGTTGGTAAGCTGTTAGAAACCGGTTAGATCGGTGGCTCCCACATTTCGCACGGTCTCAACTATCACGTGCGCAATTACACTGAGGAAGACTTGCTTACGTTCCTTACAGGTCTAATGTTTCAGGTCCACTTATGAGGAGTTCAACAAATTGCTGTGACCCCAGGCTACAGGCATAAAATTGAGATATGGGTATATATTTCACATACTAACACTAGAATGATGCACAAACGGTCAAGTTTTGTAATGGCCTCGTATGACTTTGGATGAACTTGACAAAAGGCAGGTCATTTATAGTGTCTTAACCCTCGCTCGCACATGGGGGGGGGGGTGGGGTGGGGGTGGTTGCCATCCTCCCCAGGTAGTTTTTCTGCTATGCACTCAATATTTTTAAAGCTAGAAGCCTGATATTTCGTATAGCTGCTCTTCTATCCTTTCTTGATGTCCACTGAAAATTTCAAGTTGCTGTGGTGTTTGGTTTTGGAGATATGACCTTGGTTTTTAAGGTCATGTCAAGACCCAAATGACCAATTCTCAACATCTTGCGTTGGCTTGTGAGCTTTTGACACCTCGATTTCGGCCTTTTTTGCCAGTCTAACCTCCCACCTATCATGGAACATGTTGTTCGACGATGTACAGATGTCAAGGTCAGGGTCAAGGTCAACCTAGGTCATCTAAAATAATTGCGTTTTAGGCAAGTTGAATTGACTTTTCGTGAAGTTTTTTGGCTTCATTTTTGGTACAAGCTTCTCAGCTCATGATTTCATGTAATATGGACACATAAACAGCCGGTGCACATATGGGTTAAGGGTATGAGTTAAAATAATACTTTTAGTTTTAAGTTTTATTTGCAGTTAGAAACAAGACTTTTTGTATTTTGAAGTGATTCTGAATATCTAATCTTTTTTTACATTTTCGCTGAACCAAAATTACAATTACACATACAGCACAAACTCAAGTATTGTGTGCACCTCCGCTCAGGGATGTGGGTCACCACAGGTACTTCCCCACCTAGAACGGAGTTACGTAGTGTGCTGACATTGTGCCAATCAACGTAACACGTCACAGATAACACAATCTGAAAAAAATCACAACTACAGCATCGTTTTTCTGGGTTCCACCTCAGCTAAATATAGTCGCTGGATCCACTCTGAAACGAACCCTTCTTCCACTTCTGGTACGTGGTGACTCTGCTTCCGGCACGACCTCTGGAGGGACCGATTCTGCTGGACCGGGCTCAGCGGCACTGCTCGGCTGTGGCTGCTCCTGCTCCCTGTCCACCAGCCGCCGGGTGTCGTCATGTCGCGGGAAGTAGGCGGGCTTCAGTCGGTCCACTGACACAGTGTCTATCACCCCAGACGGTAGTTCTATGCGAAAAGTCTGAGAGCCGCTGAGCTATACAGACCGATCACGGCTTGTTTCAGGTCATCGAATGACGTTTTGGAGAGTACGTCTGGGTCGAGGCGGCTGACCGTATCAGGAGGAAGGGCCGCCAGAACATGGTAGAACTTGGACTGAGTGCTTGTGATGCGAGCCAGGTGAAATTGTGCATTCATTATGGCGAACCAACCTTCAACGGCTGTGTCCATGAACGCCGGCGGCTTTACGTTAGAAAGCATCACGGAACCTGCAACCTGTTCCGGTTCTCCTTCCATTGTTGCTGTTGTGGGAATACCTATTCACTATGAACTAGGAATAGTATTAGGCAATGTAGCAATGTAAAAATCACGTCGGGGTCACCAGTTTATGGGTTAAGGGTATGAGTTAAAATAATACTTTTAGTTTTAAGTTTTATTTGCAGTTAGAAACAAGACTTTTTGTATTTTGAAGTGATTCTGAATATCTAATCTTTTTTTACATTTTCGCTGAACCAAAATTACAATTACACATACAGCACAAACTCAAGTATTGTGTGCACCTCCGCTCAGGGATGTGGGTCACCACACACATGAGTATACACACAGACACACACAAACATACAAACACATATCATTGACCTTGACCTAACTTGACCTGAGATGACCTCAGCAGCAAAAACCTGGTCGGGTAGTGTGACAAAGAGGTTCTAGCTGGCTTGGCACCAGAAAACGGCATCGTCATCGGTATATGCTAAGCAGCGCACTTGATATCCAACGGTGACCCAAAACAGCAACATTTTTTAGTTTGACCTGACCTGGAAGGTCAATGACTGCCCTGAAAAGGTAAAACTGGGTATTATTGGATTCGTCTCTTCCCAAAGAATCATTTTGGTCTTTACCGCGAAGCTCTATCTCCAACAGGAACGAAATGGCGCGGGGGGTGGCACCCCCATGTGCGTTCTAGGATGGGAGAATGGCATGTGCGGGCGAGGGTTAACCCTTAACGGACTTAACCCTTAACCCTCACGGACCCGGGGGGAGGGCGTTTTTCGCCCCCCACTGGCGAATATTTGCGATAGCTCCCGAACGCTTAAGGATGGAAAGCCTTTTTTCCCATCACTTTGACATCTTCTGAAGTAAAAAAAAATTGAGCCTAGCCCCCTTGATGACGTCACAGGGTCAATTTTTCTAGACCCCTGCACGGCGAACTTCGGCGTCACAGACGCGAACTTCAAATAGCTGCGAAAAATACAGTTTGGAGATAAGGACAACTTACGAGCACGGTTGTGTAGCGTTTGACCTAGAAAAAATAGACACAAAAATATTTTTGGTGACCTGAGGTCAGAGGTCAGGTCAACGACCCCCGAAATGTGGTTTTAGTTTTTCGCAAATAACTTCGATAAAAAAGGCCATAGAGCTACGGCAGTGGTAGGTAGGTACCATCGCATTCGCCTTGTCGAGACGCGTCGAATGATAAATATTTTGTTTGGAAAAGGTCAAGTTTTATGTTGACCTCATGTGACCTCGAATGACCTTTGGTTGACCGTGATATATGAAAGGTCGTTTCTGATGGATTCGTACCCGCTGATCTCGAATCTGGCATCTATTTTCCTCAAATCCTTCATTTAGAGCCTCCGGATGACAAAATTGTCTTATTTATTATTACTAACTTGAACCAGTGAAATAGCCTCTAGCATGAGAAGCAAGGATACTCTTCTGTGACCTTGACATTTGAGCAGCCTTGTATCGTAAGAGTAACCACAAATAGGGACCTGATAAGCCTCAAAACATTTCAAAACATCTTAAAAGCTAGCACGCAAGATGTGCGAAAAAGTGCAAAGCTTGAGGACAGTGAGGTCAATTTTGAGCATGACCTTGACCTTGACCATTGATTTTGAACACATTTTTGGAATCTTTAGATACTCTTCTTTCGTTTGACACCCAATTTTGCCGGTTTTATGCATCCTGCCGTCCCCTAAAACGCTTACTTTGAGATCACTACACATGTGCTGGTTTTTGCCTCTGGCCTTGACCTCTGACTTTGAAAATTGATCTGAGGTCAAAATTTTAGGTGCTTTAGAATCGTCTCGTAAAGACCTATCGTTTGGTATCGCTTTCTTTTCCGCAGCTACCTTATTTACGGAGTTAGACGGGGGGGGGGACGAAAAAAAACCACCCCCGGGCTGCGGTGGCCGGGATTGCCCCCCGGGCCCGGCCGGGTTAAAACTGGCTCAAAAAGTATCTGACCTCATGTTGTTGTCTGTTTCTAGAATACCATCAGACACAGGAGTGTGGTACATGGCGTGGAACTGCAATGTCAGCGACCAGCTCCACTCAGTCACCGTTCAACCCTGCATTATTGTAGGTACCTGCGCACTGCTCGTTCGTCGCTTTTCTTTTGGCCACTACGAAGGACGGAAAGATTGAGCAAAGGTGTTGCATCAAATTTCTTCAGGAACTTGTGGACACTCAGTCAGGCACCAAAAGCGATAATTAGCAAGTATTCAGTGATGAAACAGGCGGTTCACGAGTGGACTTCCAACTTTCCGACAAAGTCGACAACACGCCACTCCTTCACGCATAAGGAACCGTTCCTCGGGCGTAGCCTCAGCCGAAGATCAAGGCCAGATCAATTGTGATCCATCGTTGTGCAGTGACCGGCCGGACCGGTCAGTGGCCGGAGGACGGGGAGGGGCCGGGAGGACGGGGAGGGGCCGGGAGGGCGGGGAGGGGCCGGGAGGGCGGGGCGGGTCGGTATTGCGGCAGACGTCTGGGCGGTCCTACCGGCCGGGGAGCTCCCTGGTGACGGGTGTGGTCAGCCGAGCACTGACCAGCCCGGGGGCGCCATTGTCAAAGACCCGACTATTTAATGGACGAGCAAACCGACCCAGGTATCAGTTCGACACTGCACCCAGTCACAACAACATGAAGGCTGTGAGTAGCTCTGGCGGATCGCCCCGGATGAAGCTGCCTTGGAAACATACCATATGTCAAACGTGGACTTCAGCAAAATAACTTTATAAACCGTCGTTGGATTAACGGACCGTTTTCTGTGTTTCAGTTTGTGATTGCCGCCCTGGCCCTGGTGGCTGCCGCCGACCAGCCCCAGACTCGCTACGCGCCGGCACCTGCCTACAGGCCCCGGCCGACCTACGCCCAGGCCCCCACTTACAGGCCTGAGCCTACGTACGCCCCTCCTGTCCCGACCTACGCTGCCCCTGCCCCGACGTACGCTGCCCCTACCTATGCCCCTTCTGCCCCGACTTACGCTGCTCCTACCTACGTTGCCCCGACCTACTCTGCCCCCGCCTACGCTCCGGCCTCCTCTTACAAAGCCCAGCCGAGCTACAAGCCGATTGCTATCCTTGAGGAGGAGAACGTCCACCCTGGAGATGGCTCCTACAACTTCCACTTCAGCACCGAGAACGGCATCTACAGGTAATACATGTTACATTTGGCAAATTTAGGGTAGCGAAGTACTGCAATTGCATGCATATAGTTTAGGTAGCTTTGCGATCTTGCCTTTTTTATATTAAAAACTTAAAGTATTGTGCGAAGTCTAGATTTATTCATCTAATTATCTAACCCTCAAAAACTTTGCATGACATTTGCGATTGAGGTGACGAACATACCTCGCTATACCAACTTTCTGCCAGAGGAATTAGCTATTAACACCTAAAACTCATTCTCAGGACTGAGAGCGGTGTTCCCCTGCCCGGCTACGGCAAGAACGCCTACGGCCAGCCGGAGGGCAGCTACCGCCAGGAGGGCTCCTGGAGCTACACCGACGGATACGGCAACCCCGTCAAGGTGACCTTTGTCGCCGACGACAACGGCTACCAGCCGTCCAGCGACATCCTGCCTACCCCGGTGCCCACCCAGTACCCGACCCCCGAGGTGGACCCCGCCTACGTCGAGCCCCAGCCCGCCTACGTCGAACCCCAGCCCGCCTACGTCGAGCGCCAGCCGGCCTACCAGCCAGCCTACAACTAATTCATTACGACCTTATTAGAAAAGTTAGGCGTTGTTGATTGCATCACGGACAATGACAAAGGCAGCATTTAATACAACTGCAATTGTTGCTTGCAAATACTGAAGTTGCCGCTGATTGATGCAAATTTATGTAATTAGGTTGACACAATTTAAGTACTTCACAAGACATCTGGTGTCAATTCCTGTCTGTATTGTGAGTGTCTAGTCATTGTCCTGTGTCTTTGTTATGTCATTTGAGGAGTGTATTAACAATAAAGAAAGCTGCAAAAGACCTGTCTCTGATCTTTCAAAAGAGTCAATGCACTATCACGATAGTTCAGCCTCGTCCGACCAAGCCCTCCTTGACATCTACGACTTAGTGATGGAAGCCTTTTTTGTCTCCTGAAATATACTGTTTTTAAATCGACATCGTAGCTTAACCCGCGCCCTGTTGGGCTCTGCCGAGCAACGCGCCCAGTTGGGGGGGGGGGGCAATTTGCCCCCCTAAGATCTCGAGAACCACGCCACCTAGCGACAAGCGGCAAACGGTGTTATATAGCCCTATCAGGGAACTACCTTGTGACCCAATTTTATTGACCTAGGTCAAACCGATGACGTCACAGGTCAGATCAAAGGTCGAATTTTCACCGTTTACAGGCATTTCAAGTAATGCGTTGTAAAATCGAGTAAAATGCATTTCATTGAAAATCATCGATGGGGAAATGTTCTTCAAACATATATTTTGCTACTTAAGGTCACTGATACCAGGTCAGGTCACAGAGGTCAGGTCACTGAGGGTCACAAAATGAAAATGTCATGTGATGCATGTATTATGGTCCATTTTATATGTCAAATACGATTATGTGGGTCAGGCAGCCTTTGGCGTCAGTTAAGATTATGTTCTGGTGAAGGTCAGGTCAAGGTCAGGTCAAGGTCAGGTCAAGGTCAGTTCAAATTACGTCAAATTTAAAAATTGATATTTTTGCATAAAATGGGTATCGATTCGATGCAGCTCGTCACGGGGAGTTTAATGGTGGTCTTTGTTTTGCCCTACGTTGTCTAGAATCGCTAAAAAAAATTGAGTTAAAAAATTTGACGTCATCATTTTTGAACAGTTTTTTCGCTATAACTTTTTCGCTAGCTAACGTTAAAAAACGAGATATCGATCTGAAATTTGGTATGTGTATAGAAGAGCGCAGGGACTATCACATATATTCCGTTTTTTCTAAATTCGGAAATTTTTATGGATTTTTTTGAGTTTTTCTAAAAATCAATTTCTTGATTTTTTTTTGGGTCAAAAACCTAAAATTTTGAAAATCCGAGATAGAAGTTTTGTAGCGCCGCTTTTTGTCCACTAGACCATATAAAGAACTTTGAAATTGCTTGGTAACTGTAGATTTGGTAAGCGTTTCAAGACTGCATGTTTTTGCTCATTTTTGCTCGAACATGACCTCAGTTTGACCTCAATAACTCCTGACCTAAGGTGACATAAGACTGGAAATTTGTTGTGAAGGTGTCAAATTGATGCTCGGGAAGGTACTGAAAATTTGGCGGCGTTGCGCGCCGCCGTTTTCTTGCTATTCAGGAAAAACCACAGGGGGGCCAAATTGGTCCCCTCGTCACGAAAAAAAAAAACAGTATGGTAATTGGTACACCCACATAACACGAGCACAATATGAAATACGTATGGACATAAACCAATTCTACTGCGTCACATGTGATCAGCCAAATCGTCAATTGGCCACCTTAGTTCACGGAAACCGTTCACACCGAATAAGGGAAACCTTATAAAACAAGTCATACGCTGACACTCGCCGATGCAGTCCACAAGACAAACGTGTTTGGATGCATGTAATGCTTTTTAACCCTATTCCTGGCGGGGGTGGGGCCTCAGGAGCCCGCCTGAGGTTTTTTGGTTATTTCTCCCAAACGCGTTGAGCTAGGAAGCTCAAATTTTCTGACTTTTCCTAAAAGGCTTCTACGCAACATGTCTGAAAATTTTGAGTTGATCTGACCTCAGGTCAGGTCACCAGAGGCGGTTTGGTGACCCTACCTCAGAAAAGTTTGCAATCACGCCAGAGCTAGAGTTTTTGACCGATCAATTTCTTCTCTTCAGGCTTTAGTTAGGGTACCAGTATGTGCAATTTGTATATCTCAGAATTTTGATATCGGTGACCTAAGGTCAGGTCAGTTTCGCGACCTCCCCATTATAAGTCAATGGGGAAAAATCAACTCCCTGTTTTTACCACTAAAACGGGTCGGAATGGCCCCATATACCATAAATGACTTCATATACGATCAACCTTCACTACCTTGAGGTCTGTTTTGCTGTTGGGCGGCTGTGAGGTCATGTGACGTCATCAAAGGTCAAAGGTTTTTGGCCAATAACTCCGTACAGGAGCAAGATACAGACGCGTGGATGGTCTCATTGTGTTCAGCTTGTCAAGACGCATCGAATGATATGCATGATGACCTCGAGGTCACGTGACCTGAGGTCAACCTTTGACCTTGACCTTTCGAGGTCAACATATATATCATTCGATGCGGATTGACGAGAGGATCACGATGATGCCCTTTGTTTGTTCCTATCTTGACTAATTCGAAAGTTATTCGAGAAAAACTCTCTCCATATCTAGCGCCGCCATTTTGACTTTTTCGACCCCTGTGACGTCATCTTTGACCTGACCTGAAAATGACCTTAGTAAAAATTGTAGATCTTGACCGTGCGTATCCGATGCCGTTTACCGTTTGTCGCTGCGATGTGTAGTTTTTGAGATCTGAAGGGGGCCGAATCGGCCCCCCCCGCCAGTTTTTTGTCCCGGCGGAGCCCGCCAGGAATAGGGTTAAGAAATAATTTTAAAAGACACTGAGCTGCCAACCGCGATCAAAACATTAAGACGTGGGGCAGATGGTGGTGGAAAAACGTACCACGCCTATACTTCTAGCAAGGCAACATTTTTTGGGCGACAATTGACCCGCGCCCCGTAGGGCTATCGGCGGACCCTAGGGGGGGGGGGGGGCGTTTCAGCCCCCCTAAGATCTCGAAAATTTACCGGCCGATTTTCATAATTCAAACGGCGTTCGATAGTCCCACCGGGGAACTACCGTGTGACCAAATTTCATTGACCTAGGTCAAACCGATGACGTCACAGGTCAGGTCAAATGTCGGATTTTCACCGTTCACAGGCATTTCAAGAAATGTGTTGTGAAATCGAGTAAATTGGTAAGTTATTGAAAACCATCGATGGTACATTGTTCGTCAAACACATACTTTGTTATTTGAGGTCACTGATACCAGGTCAGGTCACAGACGTCAGGTCACTGGGGGGTCACAATATGGAAGTGTCGTGTGATACATGTTTTATGGTCCATTTTACATGACAAATGCGATTATGTGGGCCAGGCAGCCTTTAGGGCCAGCTTAGGTCAGGTTTTGGTGAAGATCAGGTCAAGGCTATCGGCTATCGGCGGACCCTAGGGGGGGGGGGGCGTTTCAGCCCCCCTAAGATCTCGAAAATTTACCGGCCGATTTTCATACCAGGTCACCGGTTATTAGAAAAGGTCGGGTCAAATTAGGTCAAATTTGAAAATTAATATTTTTGCATAAAAAGGGTTTCGATTCGATGCAGCTTGTCACGGGGAGTCTAATGGTGTTCTTTGTTGTGCCCTACGTGGTCTAGAATTGAAAAATTGAGTTTGAAAATTTGATGTCATCATTTTAGAGCAGTTTTTCGCTATAACTTGGCCAGAAAGAGATATCGATCTGAAATTTGGTATGTAGATAGAAAACGATGGGAACTATCACATATATTCCGTTTTTTCGAAACTCAAAAAAATACTTTTTGAATTTTTGGCTAATATATCAAAAAGTTTTTTTATTTATGGGGGTCAAAACTCAAAAATTTCAAAAATCCGAGATAGCAGTTTTGTAGCCCTGTCAAATCTACACCTTTTATGTATTGATCATTTTTCTGTATCTTCAAAGCTGTAGGCCTGACAGCTCTTCTCGCGCCAACCTATCATAGCCTCTGAATTTTTTTGTCAAAATGAGTAAAATTGATGCCCGGAGGGGTCCTGAAAGCTTGGTGGTGATACATATAGGCCGCCGTTTAGGAGATATCGACGGAAAAGGACGGGGGGGGGGCCGTTTCGGCCCCCTTACGGGGCGCGGTTTAACTTAGAAAAAATGTGGCATTCAGGTTCACGTTCAGCATTTGGTGTAACCCTTTAACACTGGAGCATTTTTGGTTGAATTGGCTCGTGGATAGGTGCTGTCTTGTCCACTAGCTAATTCAGATGCTGTCCAAATCATGATGTTTCCTCCAGATTTCTACACCAATGTCTGGTGTGCGAAAGTCAAGGACCTGAAGGTTCACCTTCGAGCCTCGTTACCTGAGACGCCGACATGCTCTAAAATTTGTCCGACCAATACAGCCATCAATCTAGCCATATCTATTGCTCCAGCTTGCTGTGTTTCGAAAGCCATCTGCCACGGCCACCTGCAGAATGTTACACAAGAAACCGTTCCTCGGGCGTAGCCTCAGCCGAAGATAAAGGCCAGATCAATTGTGATCCACCGCTGTGCAGTGACCGGCCGGACCGGTCAGTGGCCGTAGGACGGGGAGGGGCCGGGAGGACGGGGAGGGGCCGGGAGGGCGGGGCGGGTCGGTATTGCGGCAGACGTCTGGGCGGTCCTACCGGCCGGGGAGCTACCTGGTGACGGGTGTGGTCAGCCGAGCACTGACCAGCCCGGGGGCGCCATTGTCAAAGACCCGACTATTTAATGGATGAGCAAACCGACCCAGGTATCAGTTCGACACTGCACCCAGTCACATCAACATGAAGGCCGTGAGTAGCTCTGGAGGATCGCCCCGGATGAAGCTGCCTTGGAAACATACCTACCATATGTCAAACGTGGACTTCAGCAAAATAACTTTATAAACTGTCGTTGGATTAACAGACCGTTTTCTGTGTTTCAGTTTGTGATTGCCGCCCTGGCCCTGTTGGCTGCCGCCGACCAGCCCCAGACTCGCTACGCGCCGGCACCTGCCTACAGGCCCCGGCCGACCTACGCCCAGGCCCCCACTTACAGGCCTGAGCCTACGTACGCCCCTCCTGTCCCGACCTACGCCGCCCCTGCCCCGACGTACGCTGCCCCTACCTATGCCCCTCCTGCCCCGACGTACGCCGCTCCTGCCCCGACGTACGCTGCTCCTACCTACGCTGCCCCGACCTACTCTGCCCCCACCTACGCCCCGGCCCCCTCTTACAAAGCCCAGCCGAGCTACAAGCCGATCGCTATCCTCGAGGAGGAGAACGTCCACCCCGGAGATGGCTCCTACAACTTCCATTTCAGCACCGAGAACGGCATCTACAGGTAATACATGTTACATTTGGCAAATTTAGGGTAGCGATTAGCAAAGTCAGTCGGGGGAGGTTTGGTCAATTGTTGTCATTTTTTAGCACGTGCTATTTTTGTCACACGTGTCAAAAATGGCAACGGTTCTGCTATTTTTGACAACGATGAAGCCTATTTCACTTCTCAGCGAGGAAATTACGATTTTGGAAAGATAAAACACTGATTTTCGAAAAAAAGTGCTGCCATCTGGTGCAAGAAGAAGAAGCCATGTAATATGCCCGTTGTTTGTAGGTATGCTTTTTTTTGGCCTGAAGCTGGAACTTAAAATTGAAGCATCCTAAAATGATCGGTATTGATCGAAAACATGATGTTGATGAAAAGATAATATGTTAAGTTGAGAGAGGAGGTCAGTTTATCCAGATGCGGTGGCTTACTTCTTGAATTTATTTTTGCTTATTGACGGCCGCGCATCATCCGTCATTGCATGGCGGTCGTCATAAACAACAACAATTTCAAGAAGTAAACCACCGCATCTGGAGGAAATCGCCTCCTCTTTCAACTTAACATATTCTTTTTTCATCAAAATTATGTTTTCGATCAATATTGATCATTTTCGGATGCTGCAAATTGAAGTTCCAGCTTCAGGCCACAAAAAAGGGTATACATCAACGTTGGACTACCGTACAAACAACGGCCATATTAACCCTCGCCGGCAATGGGGGGTTGATGCAACCCCCCCCCCCTAAGGTTTTTCGCAAATAACTCGCGTAAAAAGCAGCCGATCTCCACGAAACTTTCAGTATCCTCGCATTGATCAATTTTACACCTACCCTAAAAAAAATTCATGACCCTGACCGAAATGACGTTTGACCTGTGACCTCTTTCCGAGACCATGTTTGGCCGGAATCGCGATTCGGCGTATGTCGGCTTGCATTAGCCGCGCGTTTGCAAGCTTTTCGTGGTTTCAAACGTTCAAACATGTGATTTGATGTTGCTCCCATACATTAGGGTGGGTTTCAAGGTCACCTGAAGGTCAGGTCAGGTCATTGACCTTTGGTGACCTCGGGTGACCTCGGTTCACTTTTTCGAGTTTTACATGTTTCTAGGCTAGTTTTTGGAGCTGAATTCGAATTTAGCAACCATTTGAACATTTACGAAGTAGTTTTGGTGCCTTCGTAACATGTTACGAAGCTGTCAGAGGCGGTTGACACGTATTACGATTACCCGTCACAACCCCTACCGGTTGACCTGACCTGACCTGACCCGACCTAGTCTAAATGCTTAAGGACATCATCTCTGATCAAAACTAACACGATATTCGTAATCAGCACCCCGGAAAACCACATAGCAACCACACTTTACGACTTTCTAACAGATCCCGATTTTCCCGGTTTTCGGGTCATTGACCTGACCTGGAAGGTCACCCGATGACCTAAGACCTTAAAATTAGGGTATCATCGGCTTTCTCTCATGACGGGCAACACACTCGTTTTTTCCGCGAAGCTCTAGCTCAATCAGGGGCCAAACGCGAGGGGGGTCGTACCAACCCCCCCCCCCTTGTGCCGTCGAAGGACGCAAAAAAGTCTGTGCCGGCGAGGGTTAAAGCTGGTTTATTCTTCTTGCACCAGGTGGCAGCACTTCTTTTCCAAAATCAGTGCTTGTATTTCCAACAACGCTATTTCCTCGCTGAGGAGTGAAATCGGCTTCATCGTTGCCGAAAATAGCTGAAAGCGTTGTCATTTTTGGCACATGGTTGCCAAAAATAGCATGTGCTAAAAATGCTGTTGCCAAAAATAGCTGAAAGCGTTGTCATTTTTGGCACATGGTTGCCAAAAATGGCATGTGCTAAAAATGACAACGATGGACCAAACCTCCCCCGACTGAAGTACTGCAATTGCATGCATATATGTAGTTTAGGTTGCTTTGCGATGTTACCTTTTTGATATTAAAAACTTAAAGTATCGTGCGAAGTCTAGATTTAATTATCGAATTATCTAACCTTCGTTAACACGTTTTGGACAAGATATTTAGTTTTGGACAAATTATCTAGAAACGAATAAAGATGACTTAATATTCAAAAATTTTGCATAACATTTGTGATCGAGGTGACGAACATATCTCGCTATGCCAGCTTTCTGCCAGAAGAATTAGCTATTAACCCTATTCCTGGCGGGGGGGGGGGGCCTCAGGAGCCCCCCCTGAGGTTTTTTGGTTATTTCTCCCAAACGCGTTGAGCTAGGAAGCTCAAATTTTCTGACTTTTCCTAAAAGGCTTCTACGCAACATGTCTGAAAATTTTGAGTTGATCTGACCTCAGGTCAGGTCACCAGAGGCGGTTTGGTGACCCTACCTCAGAAAAGTTTGCAATCACGCCAGAGCTAGAGTTTTTGACCAATTAATTTCTTCTCTTCAGGCTTTAGTAAGGGTACCAGTATGTGCAATTTGTATATCTCGGAATTTTGATATCGGTGACCTAAGGTCAGGTCAGTTTCGCGACCTCCCCATTATAAGTCAATGGGGGAAAAATCAACTCCCTGTTTTTACCACTAAAACGGGTCGGAATGGCCCCATATACCATACATGACTTCATATACGATCAACCTTCACTACCTTGAGGTCTGTTTTGCTGTTGGGCAGCTGTGAGGTCATGTGACGTCATCAAAGGTCACCAAAGGGTTTTGGCCAATAACTCCGTACAGGAACAAGATACAGACGCGTGGATGGTCTCATTGTGTTCAGCTCGTCAAGACGCATCGAATGATATACATGATGACCTCGAGGTCACGTGACCTGAGGTCAACCTTTGACCTTGGCCTTTCGAGGTCAACATATATATCATTCGATGCGGATTGACGAGAGGATCACGATGATGCCCTTAGTTTGTTCCTATCTTGACTAATTCGAAAGTTATTCGAGAAAAACTCTCTCCATATCTAGCGCCGCCATTTTGACTTTTTCGACCCCTGTGACGTCATCTTTGACCTGACCTGAAAATGACCTTTGTAAAAATTGTAGATCTTGACCGTGCGTATCCGATGCCGTTTACCGTTTGTCGCTGCGATGTGTAGTTTTTGAGATCTGAAGGGGGGGCCGAATCGGCCCCCCCGCCAGTTTCTTGTCCCGGCGGAGCCCGCCAGGAATAGGGTTAACGCCTAAAACTCATTCTCAGGTCTGAGAGCGGTGTTCCCCTGCCCGGCTACGGCAAGAACGCCTACGGACAGCCGGAGGGCAGCTACCGCCAGGAGGGCTCCTGGAGCTACACCGACGGATACGGCAACCCCATTAAGGTGACATTTGTCGCCGACGACAACGGCTACCAGCCGTCCAGCGACATCCTGCCGACGCCGGTGCCCACCCAGTATCCGACCCCTGCTGTTGACTCCGCTTACGTCGAGCCCCAGTCGGCCTACGTCGAGTCCCAGCCCGCCTACGTCGAGCCCCAGCCCGCCTACGTCGAGCCCCAGCCCGCCTACGTCGAGCCCCAGCCCGCCTACGTCGAGCCCCAGCCCACCTACGGCAAGCCCCAGCCCGCCTACCAGCCGGCCTACGTCGCGCCCCAGCCTGCCTACAACTAAGCGTCATCGAAAAATCACGGCAGGATTGGGCGACCGGGACTTGGAGCCACAGCGAGATGACTATTAAAAACAGGTTCACCGAGATGTCCACTTGCCGGCAACTAAGTCAACTTGTGTCCACTCTTGTAAGGATTGCTGATTTGTCGTATCATTGTCACAAACGTCGTTGTTAATGTATTTATGTTTATCGTGATTGGCTTTTATTGGTGTCTTTTCAATATGTCAGTCATTGTTTATTGTGTAAGTGTGCCCATCAATATACAATCACCAGTAACATTTTTCAAGAAGTTTAACAATTCAGAGGGCAGTTTTACGAAAAGAAAAATCACCGGCTGCCGGAATATGTTACCTTAACCCTCGCCGGCCGAGGGGGGGGGGGGGACGGCGGGTGCCGCCCCCCCCCCCGCCCCATAGGGTTTTTTTTCGCCATAGCTCAGAACACGCTGGCCATAGAGAGTTGAAACTTGGCATACCTGACCTTTGATTCAAGCCAGATCTTTTGACACCAACCGCATTTTGGGTCAGGTCAGGTCACTGACCTATGACGTCATAAGTGAACCTCTGCACAGTCTTCAGATGTCGCAACTTTGCAACGCCTTCACTGCCAGAGTAGCTTTCACAGGGAAATGAAACTTGCAGGATCTAATATCCATTACGCGTATCACAGCTTGTATATCTCAGATTTTTCGTTAAGATCATATGAGGTCAGGTCAGCTTCGTGACCTCACAATTATGAGTCAATGGGGAAAAATGAAAACTGCTATTCTGGCGCCGGGAACGATCTCCAACTATCTCAAGCACACAGAATCGTGATTTGATGCACTCCTTGCAAGGCTAGATGCGTCACTTTTGCAATGTTGACCTTGCATGACGTCATTTATGACGTCATCAAGGTCATAGTAGTTTTTCGTCAATAACTCTTGATCAAATTGAGCTGGCGAGTCGGGAAAGCCACCAATGGACTCAGGAAGACCTGCCGAATCGAATAATATGCGACATGACCTCTTTCGACCAACTTCGTGACCTGGGGGTGCTGGCCTGTCCTTGACCTGAGGTCAACACCCAAAGTTGACCTGACCCGAACAAAAAGTATATCATTCGACGCGCCTGAGCGAGGCGAGGCGATGCTGCCAAAATCGTGGCTCTGCGGCTGTTTTTTGCAAAGTTATTCACCAAAAATTGAACCGTACCTTGGGGCACTTGACCTGATCTCAGAGGTCACCGGTTGACCTAGGACCTTAAAATCGGATACCAATCTCTGCGTCTCGTAACGGCGCACAAGCTCGTTTTTTCCGCGACGCGCTAGCTCCACCAGGGGCGAAGCGGCGAGGGGGGTCGTACCCCACCCCCACCCCCCCTCGGCCGACGCGTATGTAGAAAACCAATAGGTCCGGCGAGGATTAAGTCTTCCCCGAATTTCGCCATCCAGGCGAAAAAATACACCGATGTGAATAGTAATATTAGCCAGCCTAATCTATTTTTTCCCCTAAGCCTATATGTTTTCATATCGGCTGTAATTTCATCGAGTTAATTGCCTCAGGAACACGCTCACCTGCAATGGGTGACCCTTATACGTATACCGGGACCGAATGGCCCATCCGTCCAAAAACTGCTGTAGCTCTCCAGCAAGAACCATGCAGACAGCCCGGATACGAATTTCAAAACTGCACTCGATTTACCATGATTGTCTGTGGTGGGCGACTTGGGCCCAAACGCAACGAAAAGATCTCCGCTGACCTTGAGGGATAATAGACTCGCGCATGTGATAAGTTTTTCGTCAATAACTCCCGATCAAATTGAGCTAGCGAGTCGAGAAAGCCACCAATGGACTCAGGAAGACCTGCCGAATCGAATGATATGCGACATGACCTCTTTCGACCAACTTCGTGACCTGGGGGTGCTGACCTGACCTTGACCTGAGGTCAACACCCCAAGTTGACCTGACCCGGACAAAAAGTATATCATTCGACGCGCCTGAGCGAGGCGAACACGATGCTACCAAAATCGCGGCTCTGCGGCCGTTTTTTGCGAAGTTATTCACCAAAAACTGAACCGTACCCTGGGGCACTTGACCTGACCTCAGAGGTCACCGGTTGACCTAAACCCTAAAATCGGGTACCAATCTCTGCGTCTCGTAACGGCGCACACGCTCGTTTTTTTCGCGACGCGCTAGCTCCACCAGGGGCGAAACGGCGAGGGGGGGGGGTCGTACCCGCCACCCCCCCCCCCTCGGCCGGCGCGTATGTAGAAAACCAATATGTCCGGCGAGGGTTAATTCAACAATATGATATAAATGTCACAAGAACAGGCAAACAAAATGAGGTATTTATTGTAGATTGACATAACATTTACTTGCATAATTTCCACGGCTTAAAACAATGGCAAATATCTCCGATCCTCCATATTATAGCCGCATACAGACGGACGCCGTTCGTCTTCAAAGCGTCAGGGTCACAGGGGAAGGGGGGCGTGGCCGGCCGCGGGCCCGTCCCGCCTCGCACCGCCACCTACTTAAGGCCACACCGACTGTGGGAGAGCATCAGTTCCACACCGATCCCACTCCAGTCAACATGAAGCTGGTGAGTAGCACTACTTACGAGAAATGTGGAGCCAAACACACACTATGTTCATGCAATGCTATGAATATAATATGTGTTGTATTTTCAAAGATAATTGACGCTATCATTCTTTCCACAGTTCATCATCGCTGCTCTGGCCCTGGTGGCCGTCGCCGACCGGCCCCAGTCTTCCTACAGGCCCCGTCCCACCTACGCTGCCCCGACCTACGCTGCCCCGACCTACGCTGCCCCGACCTACGCCCCGGCCCCGACCTACAAGCCCCAGCCCAAGTACGCTCCTGCCCCGTCCTACGGCCACTCGAGCTACAAGCCGATCGCTATCCTGGAACAGGAGGATGTCCACCCCGGAGATGGCACCTACAGCTCCAAGTTCTCCACCGAGAACGGCATCTACAGGTCAGTGAGAATAATAAAACAAAATTAAAGGAAAATAACTAGCACAACAAAATACTGGAAAACCAAACCATCTTTTGTTAAAAATAAATAAATACCCACTTTGCTTAGTAATTTGCGGATGCGAGATAGGCTGAGCGACAAATTATTGTATAGTTTAGACTGATCGTTTTTCTTCTTTCAGGTCCGAGTCTGGTGTGCCGGTGCCCGGCTACGGCAAGAACGCCTACGGCGAGGCGGAGGACCTCTACCGCCAGGAGGGCTCCTGGAGCTACACCAACGGCTACGGCGAGGAGGTCAAGGTCGCATTTGTCGCCGACGAGAACGGCTACCAGCCGTCCAGCGACATCCTGCCCACCCCGGTGCCCACCGAGTACCCGACCCCCGAGGTGGACCCCGCCTACGTCGAGCCCCAGCCCAGCTACGGCAAGCCCGCCTACCAGCCGGCTTACAAGCCCGCCTACAACTAAGTGATCCACACGACCCTGCGTTTCCCTTCATTTGTCTTATTTATTGTGTTTTTATATTTATGAACAATGTGATTCGTCAGAGTGCTTTGTTTCCTGTGCAAAATACATACATGTATTGATATCATATGGAACATATTTCTTTCATTGTGGGTTAAAACTACGAGTCGGAAAATCGATGGACCGATGCTATACACAATAATGGAACAAATGCAGAGGCTTGTTTGACAGGTGCTTGGTTAGCGACTGCTCGATAGCATGCATCCTAATCCACGATCCAGAGCCCTACATGCTAATTTTATTGGTCACCTATTTACGGAAAGCCAAGTTTTTCTTTCAATAAGCATACCTATTAATTTAGGTCCAAATACTTCGTTATCTAATAAATTCGGTGAGTGGTTTTGTGGCGGACAAGGCAGGCAGAATGTTACGCTACGCCACGGACCCACCTGATCCAACGACCTTACGCCTGGATCCGGTGGATCGATAAGATTTAGAGCGCAGGTTCAGCGTACCGCGATGACCCGCAGGAAGACAGTGGCTAGATCCTCCTGGATGTATGCAGGTTGTATAGGGCGCCCTGTCATAGCCACTCGCTGGTTTCCAAGGCGCTTGGCCAAAAGGTAGCGGGGCGGGGCCAGCGACGTTCATGGGAGGATCTGGCTTACTCACCATCTCGCCAGAACGACTTCACATCCACTACCCATACGACCCGTATGTCTGTGACAATTACCGAGGGAGCCACCTGCACTGAAACGGTCACCTACCTGGAAACCAGAAATGAAAACAAATGAGTACACATAAATGGGTTATGAAGCGACGATTAATATACGTTGCAATAGCGGCAATGGCAAGAAGCTCAAGTGGGTTACATATTCACAACCAACATGACTTTCTTCCTAAATACACAACTCAACGTCTACTCGCCATTAGCGTTCCAGTTCAATGACCTTCATGAAAAACTAGCTGAAGTAATGATGAACTTATGTTAATTTTTGAAGGGTTATACATATATCAAAGTTTTCGGAAGAGGGCAAAAAGCCATAATCTCAATTCGCGCCAAAGTGTGCATTACTGTTAACATGCGAATAGTTTCCGGACATACCCTCAGACCGATTCTTAGGGGTTAATAACCGCGCCAATAAAGAGGCCACACCCTGCAGCTCGTATGACCTAGCACCACATTTCCACCGTTATACGGTGCCAAACAGCAAGGTCACAGATGGACAAATGGAAGAGCCGGATTGCGGAAAGTCGTCAGGCAGTTGGATAATGCCCGATATAATTCCTACTATTCTCTGCTGAAGGGCGCTAATTTCCACCAGCATGATGGGGGCTATTTCCGCTCGTATGTTTGTGGCACGTCAGACACAGTCTCAATAAATAATAGCGTATATAGTGTGCGTTATCTGCAGTAACGTCGGGCTGTAGATAGTGCCAAGGGATAAAGCTCAAATAGCGAATATAAATGTTATCCATTTATAGTTTTACGCTATTGAAAAGTTGAAGAACCACTTATAGTTCTAATTTCTTAAAATGCGAAAAGCGTGAAAAGTAAAGCATCTCATTGAATCATGTCACCCAACCTCACCCTATTAGCTCAGTGCAGTGGGAAACTGCTCACAGCCCACTGCTCATCGTCTAAGTTGACAGCATACCGGAATCCGATTCGAGCCACTTCGCCACTATCTGGCTCCCGATCTCGACATAGATGGACTTCGGCCAGTGGCACCGATCACGCTTCAAACCTCGATGATGAGCATGATACGCTGACCGGTGAAATTGCAGATGAAGTGGGTAAGCGTGGGCGCTAAGTCCAAGTCGGAGCACAGGAAACGTTACACGCGAGGCTAAACTGAGCCGCAAGGCCCTTGCCCCTTACTTGGAATTTCCTGACCAGGTAGTGGTGGTGAAGAAACAACGCAACAAGCGTTGCTTAGCGTGACTTCTGGACTCTGAAATACCCCATCGCACATTATTCTCAGGATCATGTTTCTAAAATCAAAGCAGTGAAGCTCTGCTCTGTTAACACAATCATTGATTCTCAGCTGCTTGTAATATGTGTAAAACATGTCAGCCAGCACAGACTGATGCCCTGGCTAGTGTCCACGTTCCGTTACCCTGGTCCGTCATGGTCAGGGTCAGGGGGGCGTGACCGGCCGCGGGCCCGTCCCGCCTCACACCGCCACCTACTTAAGGCCACACCGACTGTGGGAGAGCATCAGTTCCACACCGATCCCACTCCAGACAACATGAAGCTGGTGAGTGCACTACTTACGAGAAATGTGGAGCCAAACACACACTATGTTCATGCAATGCTAAGAATATAATATGTGTTGTATTTTCAAAGATAATTGACGCTATCATTCTTTCCACAGTTCATCATCGCTGCTTTGGCCCTGGTGGCCGTCGCCGACCGGCCCCAGCCTTCCTACAGGCCCCGTCCTACCTACGCCGCCCCGACCTACGCTGCCCCGACCTACGCCCCGGCCCCGACCTACAAGCCCCAGCCCAAGTACGCTCCTGCCCCGTCCTACGGCCACTCGAGCTACAAGCCGATCGCTATCCTGGAGCAGGAGGACGTCCACCCCGGAGACGGCACCTACAGCTCCAAGTTCTCCACCGAGAACGGCATCTACAGGTCAGTATCAATAATAATACAAAATCAAAGGAACAGGAACGAACACGAAATGATACTGGAAAACAAAGCCGTCTTTCGTAAAATACAATAACAATTTTGCCTAATAAAATGTGAACGTAGATTAGCTAAGCGACAAATTATCATACAATCTTGACTGAATGTTTGTTCTTCTTTTAGGTCTGAGACTGGCGTGCCGGTGCCCGGCTACGGCAAGAATGCCTATGGCGAGGCGGAGGACCTCTACCGTCAGGAGGGCTCCTGGAGCTACACCAACGGCTACGGCGAGGAGGTCAAGGTCGCCTTTGTCGCCGACGAGAACGGCTACCAGCCGTCCAGCGACATCCTGCCCACCCCGGTGCCCACCGAGTACCCGACCCCCGAGGTGGACCCCGCCTACGTCGAGCCCCAGCCCAGCTACGGCAAGCCCGCCTACCAGCCGACTTATAAGCCCGCCTACAACTAAGTGATCCACACGACCCTGCGTTTTCCTTCATTCGTCTTATTTATTGTGTTTTTATATTTATGAACAATGTGATTCGTCAGAGTGCTTTGTTTCCTGTGCAAAATACATACATGTATTGATATCATATGGAACATATTTCTTTCATTGTGGGTTAAAACTACGAGTCGGAAAATCGATGGACCGATGCTATACACAATAATGGGACAAATGCAGAGGCTTGTTTGACAGGTGCTTGGTTAGCGGCTGCTCGATAGCATGCATCCTAATCCACGATCCAGAGCCGTACATGCTAATTTTATTGGTCACCGATTTACGGAAAGCCAAGTTTTTCTTTCAATAAGCATACCTTTTAACCCGCGCCCTGCTGGGGGTCCTGGATTTCCACGCCCTGCTGGGGGGGGTGTTTGAACACCCCCCCTTCTAACTCGGCTCCTGGGCCACGTAGCGATACGCGGAAGGCGGCGTTCGAAAGAGCGTCAAAAATAATGAGGAAATCACTTCGGTCAATTTTTTGGTCAGGTCAAAGGTCAGGTCACCAGAGGTCATTGAAGGCAAAATTTCGCCGATTTCCAGGTCGAATGTCGACAATTTCCAAGAAGCCAACGCATAACTCGGGAACCAACAGAGCTACAGCGCCGCGGAAAAGCGCATTCGATAGCCCTATTAACGCCCTTTCTGAGTAATTCTCTCAGATTTGACCTAACGTCAACGGTTTTGCCTGCAGGGGGCAAAAACTGCAAAAATAGCCGATTTTTTCGGAAACAGTTTTTCTGCAATAACTTTTGACCCAAGCCTTGCACAAGCTTACTTTTACCGGCATCGTGTTCCTCTCGTCAAGACGCATCGAATGAACTATAACTTGACCTTGAAAGGTCAACTTGAAAATTTGACCTCAGGTCAAGGTCATGACCTGACCGGAAAGGGTCATGTTGCATATCAGTCGATCCGTATCGTCGAGCTGAACACATCTAAGGCATTTTCGTCGCTCTAGCATGCCTCTATCAAAAGTTATTTGCGAAAAACTGTTAGATACCATTCGTGACCTAAGATGACCTCAGGGCATAAACAGGGGTCACGGGCACCATTTCCAGGTTCAGTGTGTCTAAACCACTTATAATTCAGTGTTTGGGAGTGTTTATAATGTCTTTCGTCCAAAAGAGGCGCATTTCAATTTTCTCCCATTGACTTATAATGGGGAGGTCGCAAAATTGACCTGACCTTAGGTCATCGATATCAAAATTCTGAGATATACATTTTGTACATGCTATTGCTCTTAGCAATCGCTGAAAGTTTCAAAGCGATCGGTCACTCGGTATAGTTATGACAGACATTGAAACTTTTTATGAGGTGAGGTCACTTCAAGTGACCTGGTGACCTGACCTTGAATGACCTTGGTCTGAAATTTTCACAACATGTGTAAAATTGATGTATGATAAGGTGTACCAAAAACGGCGGCGCTCCGCGCCGCCGTTTTTGAGATATTCGCGATAAACCACAAGGGGGGGTGTTCAAACACCCCCCCAGCAGGGCGCGGGTTAATTTAGGTCCAAATATTTAGTTATCTAATAAATTTGGTGAGTGGTTTTGTGGCGGACAAGGCAGGCAGAATGTTACGCTACGCCACGGACCCACCTGATCCAACGACCTTACGCCTGGATCCGGTGGATCGATAAGATTTAGAGCCCAGATTCAGCGTACCGCGATGACCCACAGGAAGACAGTGGCTAGACCCTCCTGGATGTATGCAGGTTGTATAGGGCGCCCTGTCATAGCCACTCGCTGGTTTCCAAGGCGCTTGGCAAAAGGTAGCGGGGCGGGGCCAGCGACGTTCATGGGAGGATCTGGCTTACTCATCATCTCGCCAGAACGGCCTCACATTCCACTACCCAGACGACCCGTATGTCTGTGACAATTACCGAGGGAGCCACCTGCACTGAAACGGTCACCTACCTGGAAACCAGAAATGAAAACAAATGAGTACACATAAATGGGTTATGAAGCGACGATTAATATACGTTGCAATAGCGGCAATGGCAAGAAGCTCAAGTGGGTTACATATTCACAACCAACATGACTTTCTTCCTAAATACACAACTCAACGTCTACTCGCCAATAGTATTCCAGTTCAATGACCTTCATGAAAATCTAGCTGAAGTAATGATGAACTTATGGTAATTTTTGGACGGTTATACACGTATAACAGTTTTCGGGAGAGGGCAAAAAGCCCTAATCTCAATTCGCGCCCAAGTCAGCATTACTGGTAACATCAGGCCCATGTCACTCCACTTTTGATGACATCATAAGGGGGCCTCAGGACAACAATGGCGCGGTGCGCCACAATCGCTTCAAAGCTGCTTGCCAACAGTTGCCATTTTTGAAAATATCATTTTGAAATAAAGTTACAAGTTATAAAAATATTGTAACAAAGTTGTTGATTAAATCGATACCATATCTAAAAACTTACTGAAAAATGATTTATTCATAGTAAAAATATAAGCTCCATGCGTTTTTACGTTGCTTTCCTGCAACTGCAGAGGATTTTTAAATCATCTATATCTTCAAAATCGGCCATTTCTTAGCATATTGCTGATCTTTTTTATCGCTAGAAAATTAGTTGGACTTTCCAATGACATCAACGGTTGAGCGATATGCGTAGAGTGTCACCAACAATCTTTAAATGAAGTTGGTCATTTTTACGTTGTAAAGGAATGGAGCACCCCTTGCGAGCATCAAGGGTGACGTCACTCAGGATCTGTCTCTGATTGGTCGGCGGGAGAGTGACTGTACCTTCTATAGATGGCCTTGGGTAACATGCGAATAGTTTCCGGACATACCCTCAGACCGATTCTTTTTTTTACTTTTTTATTAACATATTCTTGCATACAATATGAGCAGACCGAACCCTGCTTGTACGCATCTTCCGGTCCCCTAGTGCGCGTTATCTGCAGTAACGTCGTGCTGTAGATAGTGCCAAGGGATAAAACTCAAATAACGAATATAAATGTTATCCATTTATAGTTTTACGCTATTGAAAAGTTGAATAACTACTTTAACCCGCGACCGCCTGGGGGGTCGGATCCGACCCCCCCCCCTCCATTTTTCTTCAATAACTCATGAACCGCTTACGCTATCAACTTGAAACTTGGCATACCTTCTCCCTCATCAATTTGACGTCTCCTGTGTAATTTTTAAGAAAAAAAATCCTTTTTTTAGATATATCAATTTTAGTGATGTAACTACATGGCGTTTTCAATCAAAAAGTGGTAAATGTTTGAAAAATCGCCAAAAATCGAGGTTTGAAGCATATTGCAAATTATCCCGCGCCCTGGTGGGGTCTGTTTATAACGCGACCTGGTGGGGGGGGCTATTTGTTGCCCCCCTCGTATCTCCGAAACTACTGACTTTTTTTCTTAGCCCTCGTTTAGTTATGTATGGTATAAACGATTTTTTTATGCTTTCAATGCACACTTATCACCAGCACAGTGACTTAGGGTCACATATAAGTTATAGCCATTACCATCGGATTCGGCGTGAAAAATAAGCCATAAAACATGTGTCGCACGCCCATGTAGCAGAAAGTGAAAACCGTGACCTTGCGTGACCTGACCTGACCTTGACCCGTACTTAGTATGACCTCTATACGCACATGGTACCTTCATTAGGTCTTTGAGGTCATTTTTGGTGAGTTTCGAGCAGCAGCTATCGATTCCGCTGTCCGTAAGCCTAATCATGCAAAACCCCAGAATTTGACCTTTGACCTGACCTTGACCCGAAAGTTGACCTCAACCTTAAAATCTTAAGAGTGCTTTGGGAAGTTCTCGTAGACACCTTTCGAACGTCGCCTCGCGGGGCTCGATACGACCATTGGTTCTCGAGATAACAGGGGGTCGGATCCGACCCCCCCCCCCCTCCCCCCCCAGGCTGTCGTGGGTACGGAAATAGCCCAGGCGGTGCCGGGTTAAGTTCTTATTTCTTAAAATGCGAAAAGCGTGAAAAGTAAAGCATCTCATTGAATCATGTCACCGAACTTCACCCTATTAGCTCCGTGCAGTCCAGCCCACTGCTCACCGTCTAAGTTGACAGCATACCGGAATCCGATTCGAGCCACTTCGCCACTAGGAACATGTATCTGGCTCCCGATCTCGACGGAGATGGACTTGGGCCAGTGGCACCGATCACGCTTCAAACCTCGATGATGAGCTTGATACGCTGACCGGTGAAATTGCAGATGAAGTGGGTGAGCGTGGCGCGCCAAGTCCAAGTGGGAGCACAGGAAACGTTACACGCGAGACTAGACTGAGCCGCAACCCCTTACTTGGAATTTCCTGACCAGGTAGTGGTGGTGAAGAAACAACGCAACAATCGTTGCTTAGCGTGACTTCTGGACTCTGAAATACCCCATCGCACATTATTCTCAGGATCAGGTTTCTAAAATCGAAGCAATGAAGCTCTGCTAACACAATCATTGATTCTCAGCTGCTTGTAATATGTGTAAAACATGTCAGCCAGCACAGACTGATGCCCTGGCTAATGTCCACGTTCCGTTACCCTGGTCCGTCATGGTCAGGGGAAGGGGGGCGTGACCGGCCGCCGGGCCCGTCCCGCCTCACACCGCCACCTACTTAAGGCCGCACTGACTGTGGGAGAGCATCAGTTCCACACCGATCCCACAACAGTCAACATGAAGCTGGTGAGTAGCAGATAGGTGCATCAGCCACCTTTGCTTTTGGAGATGGACCGTGATAACATATCGAATCAGCCCCCTGAATCACCTCCTTTGCCGTCAAATCTCTTAAATCGATTTTTGTCGCTGATTAGATGAATAATCATTAGAATCAAAAGCAGACCAATACAAATAGAAAAGATCGATCAAAAAGTAGCCCTGGCGGCTTAAAAAATGACTTATCCTTAATGGTAATTTCGATGCTGAGGAGTTCTTCATGACCAAAGAAGCATAACGATTTCATTCTATTTTCAGTTCATCGTCGCAGCTCTGGCCCTGGTGGCCGTCGCCGACCGGCCCCAGCCTTCCTACAGGCCCCGTCCTACCTACGCTGCCCCGACCTACGCTGCCCCGACCT